TGCCAAACCCCCCGCCCGCCTCTTTTTTTTTTTTTTTTTTTTAATTTGCTATAAGGCATGTGTACTTGCAAAAAAGGAAGGAGACAGAGAGAGGGAAAATGAGAAATCACCCCCCCACCAAGGAGGATGGCCATATCACAATCCATTCTCTTCCATTCTCCTCTCAGGATTTTGGGCATGCACACACACACACGCCTGGATGATTTTCAAGCTCCAAGGACTAGTGCTTGAACCATGGCTAGCCATGTGGGAGTCCAATGCCTTAACTACCATGCCACCTGCTGGCCCCAGAAACAAGCGCTGCTAATACATGAATCATTTCCACACACTTTTCCCTGTGATAATTTTTTTCCCTAAGCAAAGATCATATATCCACAATCCCATTCAAATGCTTTCCTCCCTGTCCAGGGCCGCACTAAACACTTCCCGGGAGTCACCTCATCTTCACGACACTCTTTTGAGGTAGGAATCATCGGTGCTCACATTTCACAAATGACAAAACTAAGTTTATCCCAGAAATGCCATTTCAAGTACTGTTCCTGGCCCTTTCCATCCTCAGGGAACCGCACGACTAAAGAATCTCTGAGAGTGTCGCTCCGACAGCTGTGTGCGGTTCCACCCAGTGGCTAACCTACGACTCGGGGGAAAAACTGCCGGTGGCTGGAAACGAACTGCCGAAGTCCTCCCTATGGCAAACGACACCGGAGGGACATCTCCTGGCCTGTCTCTGGCTTTGCCGGAGCTGGACTGTGTCCCTGGCCGCAGCGGGGACGGGGTGTGACTCACCACTGATGACCTCCTGTCGCTTCACCTGGCTCTTGGGCAGGCTGTGCAGAGTGTCTGGGGGGATGAGCTCCCGCCAGCCAGGAGGCTCTTCTGGTTCCAACTCCAGTCCTGATCGTCCCGGTTCCCCTTCCTCTCCAGGCTCAGGGCTGTGGAGAGAGGCCTCCTTAGGACTCCAGGCTGAGGCATCCCAGGAAAGAGGCTTCGACTCCTTAGCGTCCAAACCCTTCCGGCGGCCTCGGCATCTGCTGCTCCAGGCAGCCATGCTGCTGACCAGCCCCTTCAGCTTTAGAAACAAGCATTCCTCCCGACAGGCCCGTGACTGCAGCTAGACCCCAGTGAACCTCAGCGTCTGACCCCCACGTCTGTGATGGGCAGCAACCCCCCTCCCGGTTCTCCAGGCTGCTTCAGTGGATTGTGGGGTGACGTACGTGGCTCGTCGGGCAGGGCCAAGCACGGCCGTGGCAGAGCTGGGGTCCATGTCCACGTCGCTCCGGGAGCGGCCCCCACCCCGGCCCTTAGCCCCGAGGCTGCCCCGGGAAGGCCGGCGGCGGTCACTCACCCGCAGGCTCTCCGAGCGCCCCAGACGCCCCGATAGCCTGGACCCCAAGGCCAAGGAGAGTCAGGCAAAGGCCGGGACAGACAAGGAGAAACAGACAAGGACAGAGAGGAGAGACCAGGACAGGGACAGGGCAGACCAGGACAGGGACAGACGGGAGAGACCAGGACAGGGACAGGGCAGACCAGGACAGGGACAGGGCAGACCAGGACAGGACAGGGGAAAGACCAGGACAGGGATCAAACGTGCAACAGAAAAGAGGAAAGAGTCAGAGTAGTGGGGCTTCAGGGGTGCTGGGCAATGTGGGGGTGCCCAGGCAGGGTACTGAGATGTGGTTGGGGGAGGGGTGGGATACCCAGTGGAGGGTATAGGATTGACCCCCTCCCTTCCAAGGCAGGGGGATTGGGACAGAAGGGGGGTTGGGGGAGAAGGATTTTGATACTTAGCTCTTCAACTGGGAGGGTGACGTCCCACCCACCCCCTCACAGGGGGTGAAAGGGAGGGGTGGCCATAGGGAGAGGGAGGGGCTGGGAGAAATGGGGGAGGGGCTAGCCCTGCTCCCACCCAGGGCCCAGGCACCCACCTGGCCCAGGCACCCACCTCTTCCACCTTCTGGGGAGAGAGGGGCACAGGGTCAGAGGTGGCCCTAGGTGGAGCCCAACCCCCTCCCCGCACCCACCCAAGGGTCCCCAAAGCAGCGGCACAAGGACAGGCGGGGGGCAGAGCCTGCCCCCCCAACTGTGAGGGGGACAGGGCCCCCAGGCATGGAGCACAGAGGGGTGGGGGACTGAGGGATGGGCAGGAGGAGGCGGGTGCAAGGCGGGGTGGGGGAGGGCTGAGGAGAGAAGGGGAAGGAGGATAGAAAAAAAGGGGCAGGGGGGAGGGGCAGAGGGCTAAAACAGTAGAGGGAGAGGGAGGAGGAGAGGAGAGAAACCCAGGCAGAGAGAGGAAGAGGGAAGACAGAGGAGGGTGGAAGAGACAGATGGGAGGAGGGGAAATTAGCGAAAAAGGAAGGAGAGGAGAGGAAAGGGAGGACTGAGGCAGGGAGGAGCTGAGGGAAGACGAGAAAAGAAAGGGGAAGGTAAACAAGGAAGGGCAGGAGGCAGGCCCTAGACAGGAGCAGGGGAGAGTGGAGAAGGCTTGGGACTGGCAGGTGCAAATGGCAGCGGCAACCCCCCAAGTAAGCCCGTCCCGCCCGGCCTGCCCTGCACCCCAGCCTGGGCACCTCTCCGTGTCAGCGCCCTCCTCGGTGCTCTCTGGGGGTGCAGGAGGCTCCAGGCTCATGGGGCCCTGTGGAGGTAGGTCCCCCAGCTCCAGGGCGGTGTCAACACCTGTGGAAGCAAAGGGAGGGAAGCAAGGCTGGAAGGCCCCTGCGGTGGCAGGATGTACACTCGGGGGGCCTCAGCTCCGTGTCCCATCGAATGGGGAGGCGAAAGCCACCCGTGCTTGGCAGATGCCAAGTGGCTGCTCTTAGAACCAGACAGTGGACAGTGGGGTGCCAGATGGATGGACATGCCACGGAACTATGGTGCTGCCTGAGCACGCCCCGCAAAACAGCCTGAGGGCAGGGAGGAGGCAGCAAGCCTCGATGCCCCAGATCCCTTCACCATCCCTGCCGTCAGCCTGTGCTTGGTGGGAACAGGCCGCACTCCAGGTAATGATGAGGAAACTGAGGCTCAGAGAGGCGAGTGATTTCCGAGATAGAACTCAAGTCAGCGGCAGGGCCAGGCTTTGAACCCAGACCTGTTTGAGCTCCAAGAGAGGACTGTAAGACATGGAGCCAGTGGGGCAGGTGGGTGACCATCTGGGGGGCACAGAACTGTAGTATGCAGAGGGGGACTGGGCACCTACTCAAGTAGGGTTCTGGCCAACGAGGTCATGAGGACTGATGGGAAATGCAGTCCAAGGAGGGGGAGACATGGCACCAGGAGAGAGGTCACAGCCCAGGAGGAAAGCTGTGGAAGAGGAGACTCAACCCACATGGGAAGGTCGTGGGTTTGTGTCCTGAGACCCATGTGTACGCCAGGCACACATGTGCATGCCATGGTCTGGGACGGCTAGGGCCAGGGGCAGATCATGGCGAGAAGATCTTGATGAAGGTGGCTGACTCTCTCGTGGGAAAAATAACAAGAGAGAGAAAAAGAATAAACCGAGGGAAAGA